ACAACAGAATGCACAGTCACAATACAAGGCATAAGGCACTCTTCAACATCCCTCGTGTCAGTCTCACACTGTGCAAAAATGCTATGCCCATAAAGGCATAAAGAGCCTGAAAATCTGGAACTCGCTACCAGAACCGGTAAAGGATCCCCTGTCTACTTATAAATTTAGGATTTTGCTAAAAAATCATCTTATCTCTCAATATTAATCAAATCAACCAAAACAACTAACTAGTTATTTTATGTGGCCTCTATACTTTAAACTTCTGCCAGTCCATGAAATATTACTGACTGAATCATTAATTGTAATATTTTTTATAATGTGCAACTTCAAGATTATTATACTTAGAAACTTCCACCTTGGCTACCTCGCATTAGTATTAAGATTAAACATGATTGTCATCATGTAAACCACTTGTCTAGTTTTAAGTAGTTACTATGTACGTATTAGGATTAGTCTGCCCGAAATGCCCCGGTATGATAGTGGCTTTCTTTCTACTTAGCAAACCAAAATTGTAATTATATATTGTAACCTTTGCAAAGAAATAAACCTTTACTGTACTTTACTTTTAATTATGGGGCTCTCAACAATGAAGAGCATAAAATGAAGCAGGACCAAGATAATTACCCATCCTGAATATAGTATACTATAGCCTGACCCATTATTGTCACAGAGCTTGTATATACAGCAGGGCCCCACTTATACGACAGGTTAGGTTCCAGGCTACTGCCGTAAAGCAGAAATTGCCATAAAGTGGAATGCCCTTATTTTCCACTTATAAATGCATATAAGTTCACAATAACATATAGTATTAAGTTAGCAATAGAACTAGGCATTAAAAAAATAAAGTAAAATGCATAAACGGTACACTCATTACATAAAATATTTGTAGTCTTAATGTAGGGTCAGAGGTGAGTAAACGATATAAAATGAATAAATGAGAGACAGAGAATGAGTACAGTGGACCCTCGGTTAACGCCTGGACCGGATAGCGCCAAAATCGGATAACACCTCACTTTGGCATGAAAAAATTGGCTCAGATAACACCTAAAAACGCGGTTAGGAGCTTTCGTCCCGAACGTGTCGGTGCAGCGGCCTGAGCAGGCCCAGCCACTCACTCCGTGTACCAGCCAGTGTGCCAATGTTTACAAAGCCAGTAAGGACAATTCCGCATGTACATGCGATATATTTTGTAGTATTCCATTGCTTTTGGTGCTTGTAACTGCTAAATAAGCCACCATGGGCCCCAAAAAAGCTTCTAGTGCTAGCCCTATGGTAAAGAATGTGAGAAACACATAATTTAAGAAAAAGTTTGTAAAAAAGTACGAAAGTGGTGGTGGTAGAGGGTGGTATTTGATGGTTGGTGAGGGTGATGGTGGTAGAAGGTGGAGTAAGTGATGGTGGTAGAAGATGGTAGTGATGGTGGTAAAGATGGTAGTGATGGTGGTAGAAGTGGTAGTGATGGTGGTAGAAGAGGTAGTGATGGTGGTAGAAGTGGTAGTGATGGTGGTAGAAGATGGTAGTGATGGTGGTAGAAGATGGTAGTGATAGTGGTAGAAGATGGTAGTGATGGTGGTAGAAGGTGGTAGTGATGGTGGTAAGATGGTAGTAAATGGTGGTAGAAGGTGGTAGTGATGGTGGTAGAGGGTGTATTGATGGTGGTAGAGGGTGGTAGTGATGATGGAGAGGGTGGTAGTGATGGATGGAGAGGGTGGTATGATGATGGAAGAGGTGGTAGTGATTGTGATGGTGGTAGAGGTGGTAGTGATGGTGGTAGAGGTGGTAGTGATGGTGGTAGAGGGTGGTAGCAATTGTGATGGTGGTAGAGGGTGGTAGCAATTGTGATGGTGGTAGAGGGTGGTAGCGATTGTGATGGTGGTAGAGGAGGTGGCAGCAATTGTGATAGTGGTAGAGGGTGGTAGTGATGATGGGTAGAGGGTGGTAGTGATGATGGTAGAGGGTGGTAGTGATGGTGGTAGAGAGTGGTAGTGATGGTGGTAAGTAGAGGGTGGTAGTGAGGTGTAAGTAGAGGGGGGTAGTGATGGTGGTAGTAGAGGGTGGTAGTGATGGTGGTAGTAGAGGGTGGTTGTGATGTTTGGTAGTAGAGGGGTGTAGTGATGGTGGTAGTAGAGGGTGGTAGTGATGGTGGTAGTAGAGGGTGGTAGTGATGGTGGTAGTAGAGGGTGGTAGTGATGGTGATAGTAGAGGGTGGTAGTGGTTGTGATGGTGGTATGGTATGATAAGGCATGGTGAGGCTGCCAGTTCTGACAAAAAAGCGGCTGAAAAATATGTGCAGGACTTTAAGGGGTACATAGAGACTGAAAAATTAAAACCCCACAAGTGTTCAATTGTGACAAAACAGGCCTGTTTAGGAAGAAAATGCCAAACAGGACCTACATTACTCAGGAGGAACAGGCACTCCCAGGACACAAGCCAGAAAAGGACTTGTTACCTGAAGTCTTTATGGAAGGGGATTCCCCTTCCAAACACTAGAACACCTTCATCCTCTGCCTTCCTCCTGTCTCATCACTCATCAGCAAGTCCACAATAAACGTAAGTGTGATGTTATTATTGTTTTATTAGTCATGTATCGTTGTTTTCTGTGTAGGGAAATGTATATTTCATGTAAAAAAATTATTTTGTTTAATACTTTTGGGTATCTGAAATGGATTAATTAGATTTCCATTATTTCTTATGGGGAAAATTAATTCGGATAAAGGCTAAATTGGTTAAAGGCTAGCTCTCTGGAACGGATTAAAGGCGTTAACCGAGGATCCACTGTACACGTGAGAGGACAGGAGCGGAGTTATGTAAACAAATCAGGCAGACAAGAGTTTTGTAAGCAAACCAGGTGAATGCATCTGGTTTGTGTACAAGTTACCTTCACGTTGATACAGCAGAATAAATAAAGAGCAACACTCCCGTTCTAATGCAAAGCCATTTTTAGAAGAAATGATGCCCTGAGTGAAGGCATATGAGAGGAATAATTTTCTACAGTTACCCCCAGTAATATTATAGTTTACACATTTTCTCTGAAGTTGGACTACAGAAAACGCTATTCTTGCCGTCACTCATACAAGTCGTCTGGCTACCACATCTCATATTTATGTTAATTTATTTTACTGTGGGGTGTATTTATCATGTTTATAGGTTATATATCATGCTTATTATGTAATTTTGAAAAAATATCAAACATGGATTAATGAAAATGTGTATATTACTGTAATATACAACATTTAATGAGACTGTATTAGCAGAACACCGTAAAGCAAAACACTGTAAAGCAGGGCCCTACTGTAATTATAAATTAGATCTTTCATTAGTTACTGTACGAAGTGAATTGATTTACAAGTAGCACAGAGTGATTAAAGCATTTAACCCTTTCAGGGTCCCCAGGCCCTCTCCCAGACTTGTTCTCAGGGTCAAAAATTTTTCAGAAAAAAAAAAAATTTACTTATGAAATGACAGAGAATCTTTTCCCTATCACAATGACACCAAAAGTATGAAATTTGATGGAAAACTTACGGAATTATTCTCTCATGAAGTTAGCGGTCTCAACGATGTTTACGCATCGGCGATTTTGCCCACTTTGAGCCCCATTTTCAGCTAATTCCAGTGTACTAGTCGACAAAAATCATAAATATTTCACTAGAACTCCATTTTTTCTATCGAAGGAGTACAAGAAACCACCCATTTACCGATTTCAACTATCCAATACAATGGTCAGAATTTAGCAATTTTGCCAATTTCACACAAATTTCATAAGATGCCAATTTCCAAATAGGGTACAGAATAAACAAGAAAGACATTCCTGGCACTAAAATAACATTTCCTCTGTTCATTAGTCACGTCCCCATGCCCCTCTTACATTCTTTTGCTTTCCACTTTGAATTTTTATTCTCACAAAAAAATAGAAGACTTACTGTTATGCAGACTACTGCATTAGTGTAGAAATGGTATAAATAATATCAGCATACTTGTGAAAGAATATTAGACTCACCAGTTGATGTGTATTGGACGCTTAGCATGATTTGTTTACTTTTGAACTTTGGTAAAAATCGAACATTTCTGCTACTTTGAGCTCAATTTCAAGGTGCTTTTCATTGTAAAACCAGTCAAAATTATCTCAATTCCTGTAATATATCTTCCATTCTATAAAATGAGACCAGGAAAACTAGAATACAACAATAAATATCACATGAAAATACAGTGCAAAGTCGCTGTTTTAATCCGAAAACACGGACAAAGTTTTTTTTTTTCTCATTACACACTGTGTGCTGCAGGATTTTTTTTAAACTGCGCACACTGACCACATAGACCCATTCTTTCATATGTAGGCCTACCAGCTTTCTCTCACTAGATTTGGGGGCACTAGAATTTAGGCGTTCTAGCACGTCAAAAACACTGGTGCATAAGCCATACTATACGTCCGAAACCCTAGGGTTAAATGACTGGGAATGCCTCAAAGTATTAATTATGTATACTTGCTGGAATGGAGAAGAGAACAATACACGATAATATATACGTGGAAAGTACCTGATGGAATGTTCTCAAATCTGCACACAGCCATAACAACTAAAGTGGGTTAGAGATATGGTAAAATGTGTATAATAAACCCTTTTAAAGGTAGGGGTGCCATGGCCACAGAAGAACACTGTATTAATATAATGTATGCAGTCCCAGGCTTTTTTAGCATCTTGTCAGATATCAGAAATACTGCTGGAACGAGTGCAGAAATCGTCAAGAGAAAATCAGACAAGTTCCTCCATCAAGTACTAGATCAACCAGGCTGTGATAGATATGAGGGCCAATGGGCCGCCATCAGCAACAGCCTAGTTAACAAGGCAAGCACCAGACAATCCTGACCCAGGGCCAGGTAACCAGAAAAGGAAAATTCTCAAAACCCATTGAATTTTAGGAAATAATCATCATCATTTTGAGCACAGCAGCTACTGATATTACTTAAATAAAATAAATTAAATTTTTTGATATAATAAACCCACCTCTGGCCACAGTAACATTAAGCCTTCTTCGCACTTTAGCTTTAGAATATGAAGACTCTGTTTGAATTTCCACACTGCGAACGCTGGATCGACCTCCACCAAAATCAAACCTAACAAAAGATATACTCATCAGCAGTTGACTTTCTGTATGGAAATCACAATACTGTATCAATATAAAGGGAAACATCAAGGTAACTGCCCACATTTTCTGTATTAACTAACATTTTGCAACAGGCATATTTTTCATCAAGAGCCTAAAATGAAAAAAAAAAAAAAAAAATCACTGTTTACTGATAAGTAAAATACAGTGGAACCTCAGTATGTGACCTTCAGTCATTCCAGAAGGCTGTTTGAGTGCCACTCCATTTGAGTATCAAACAAGTTCTTCCCAACCAATTTTCTGTTAGGTTGGCTGTTATCACTAATTGTTATAGGCCCCATGGTGACTTATTTATACAAATACAAACAAAAAAAAATGAACTTTGTATAGAAAGGGGTTTAGTTATAGGTAATACATATTTTAAGAAAAAGAGGATAAATAAGTATACAAGATATGATGTAGGGCGAAATGACAGTAGTTTGTTGGATTATGTATTGGTAGATGAAGACTGTTGAGTAGACTTCAGGATGTACATGTTTAAAGAGGGGCCACAGATATATCAGATCACTTTCTAGTTGTAGTTACACTGAGAGTAAAAGGTAGACAGATACAAGGAAATAGAACATCAGTGAGAGAGAGGTGAAGGTTAATAAACTAAAAAGAGGAGCAGTTAGGGTAAGAATAAACAGCTATTGGAACGATAGATGGGCTAATGAGAGCATAGGCAATGGTGTCGATAAGAGGTATGGGGTTAGGATTAAAAATGTAATTGTGCTATGAGTGCTTTTCAGACAGAAGTTTATGGTTACAGGAAAGTGTGGGGTGCGGGAGGGAAGAGGAGCGATTGGTGAAAATGATGATGTAAAGAGAGTAGTAAAGGGAGAAAAAAGTTAGCATAATATAAGTATTTTGTTTACAAAGTAAAGTATGCAAGGAGGGGAAGAGTATATGTAGAAAAGAGAGAGGTTAAGAAGAGTGGTGAAGCTAAAGAAAAAAAAGCGAGCAAATGAGAGAGTGGGGTGAATGTTATCAACAAATTTTGTATAGAAATAAGAGAAAGTTTTGGAGTGAGATTAACAATTAAGGAAGCCAAGAGAACAAATGGAATTTGTCAGTTAAAAATAGGAGAGGAGGCAGCTTTATTAAATGGAGAGTTAGAGGTATTGGGAAGATGGAGGGAATATTTTGAGGAATTTGTTCAATGTTGATGAAGATAGGTGAAGCTGGTGATTTCGTGTATAAGGCAGAGGAGGAATAACATCATGTAGTAGTGAGGAAGAGCCAGTTGTGAGTTGGTGACGGGAAGGTTCATGAGGCAGTAGGGTAAAATGAAAGGGGTTTAAGGCAGCTTGGGATTGATGATAGAAGAAGAAGATGGTTAAAAGCATGTGGGTGATATAGTTTTTTGGAGTGGTTGGTTGCAATTATTTAATAAATTTATGGAAGAGGGTAAGGTACCTACGGATTTGGCAGAGAGCAAAGCAAAGTTCCTTTTGTATAAAGGCAAAGGGGACAAAAGAGAGTGCAAAAATCATAGGGAGGATAAGTCTGTTGAGTATGACCTGGTAAAGTTTAAGGAATAGTATTAATATTGAAAGAAATAAGAGTAAGACGGAGAATAGGATACAGATGAGACAAGGAGGCTATAGGAAAGGTAGGGGGTGTGTGGACCAGGTGTATACCAGTGACACATATAAGTAACAGTATTTAGAATAAGGCTAAGAGGTTTTGTGGCAATTATGTGATTTGGAAAAAGGCATATGACAGGGTGGATTAGGGGTTCCCAATGTGGCAGATTGCATGAGTGATGGTGTAGGAGTAGGTTACGAAAGCAGTGAAGAGTTTTTACGAGGATAGTGGAGGCTCAAGTTTAGAGTATGTAGAAAGAGGGAGATTATTATCCAGTAAAAGTAGGCCTTAGACAAGGATGTGTTAATGTCACCATGGTTAATTACATTTAATAGGATGGGTTGTAAAGAGAAGATAAATGCGAGGGTCTTGGCAAGACAGGCATGGAGTTAAAAGATAAAATAATCACGACAAAGTGGTAGTTGTCACAGAGTTGCACTTTGCTGATGACACTGTGTTCACTTGGGGTAGATTCAGGAAGAGACGTTGCAGAGGTTGGTGGATTAATTTGGTAGGGTATGCAAAAGTAGAAAATTAAAAATGAATACAGGAAAGAGTAAGGTTATGAGGATAACAAAAAGATTAGGTGATGAAAGATTGGATATCAAGATTGGAGGGAGAGAGTAATGGAGGAGGGAACGTATCAGAAAATATTTCTTGGGAAGTGGACGATGTCAGTCGTGATGGGTCTATGAAAGATGAGGTATGGTATGAATTATCAAAATTGAATTAGGAAAAAGTGTTCAAGTATTGTTGTAAATATATAGCATTGTATACAGTTAAATTATGATTGGACAAAGAGAAAGAAAAAACTGTGACACAAAAGTCTGTTGACCAATGAGAAAAATAACTATGCTCTATAGGTACAGTATAATTACTGTATATATATCTTTCTATAAGGTAGTAGGTTGGTAGACAGCAAAAAACCACCCAGGGAAGTACGTACCGTCCCTGCCAATGACTGTGAAACAGAAACCTGTAACTGTTTTGAGCAATGATGGAAGATTGCTGTTTTCTTTTTTTCTGTCTCATAAACATGCCTAGATAACAGGGGATATCTTGCTACTCCTACACACACTTTGGTCACACAATCTTCACTAGACACGCACATGCATATATATAATACATACATCTAGGTTTTTTTTCCTCCTTTTTCTAAATAGCCTCTTGTTTTCTTTAATTCTTCTATTGTCCATGGGGAAGTGGAAAGAGAAACTTTTGTTTCCCTCCGTAAGCCATGCGGTTGCGTATGAGGCGACTAAAAATGCCGGGAGCTAATGCTATAGTAAACCCCATCTCCTGTAGTTCATTTACTAAAAAAGAGAAGCAGAAAAACTTTTAAATATAAAGACAGGGATGCTTAAATGTGCGTGGAGTAGTGCGGAATGACAAGAAGAACAGATGATTGCTGATGTTATGAATGAAAAGAAGTTGGATGTCCCTAGGCCCCTAAGGCGAAACAAAGGCTGAAGGGGGTAAGGGAGTTTCAGTGGGGTAAATAAATGGGATTAAAATCTGGAGTATCTGAGAGAGTTTAGAGCAAAGGAAGGGGTAGCAGTAATGTTGAATGATCAGCTATGGAAGGAGAAAAAGAGAATAATGAAATGTAAGTGTAAATTTCAAGAATTATGTGGATTAAAGTAAAGGCTGCGATGCGAGAAGTGGTCAATAATAAGCGTGTATGCACCTGGAGAAGATAGAATGCCAGAGGAGCAGAGAGATTTAGGAGATGTTAAGTGAAAGTGTAGGAGCCTTTGAAACCAAAGTGAGAGTAACTGTGGTTAGGGGATCTGAATGCTAAAGTAGGAGAAACTGATTAGCAATGGGTGTGGTAGGTAAGTTAGGGGTGCCAGGTGTAAATAATAATTGGAGCCCTTTTGATTGAACTTTGTATCGAAAGGGTTTAGTTATAGGTAATACATATTTTAAGAAAAAAGGAGATAAATAAGAATACAAGAATAAGATGTAGGTCGAAATGACAGTAGGTTTGTTGGATATGTATTGGTAGATAAAGACTGTTGATTAGACATCGATGGATTTACATGTTTATGAGAGGGGCCACAGATTATATCAGGGGTGGATCGCTTTCTAGTGTTAGCTTCTACAACTGGAGAGTAAAAGGTAGTATGTGAGACAAGTGAATAAAGTATCAGGGAAGAAGAGGTGAAGGTTTAAAACTAAAAGAGGAGGCAGTTAGGGTAAGATATAAACAGCTATTGGACATAGATATGGGCTAATGAGAGCATAGGCAATGGGGGTCGAAGAGGTATGGGGTAGGTTTAAAAATGTAGTGATAGAGTGTTCCATCAGAAGATTTGTGGTTACAGGAAAGTGGGTGCGGAGGGAAGAGGAGCGATTGGTGGAATGATGATGTAAAGAGAGTAGTAAGGGAGAAAATAGTTAGCATATGAGAAGTTTTTACATAGTAGAAGTGATGCAAGGAGGAAAGAGTATATGAGAAAAAGAGAGAGGTAAGAGAGAGGAGAGCAATGTAAATAAGAGGCAAATAGAGAGTGGGTGAGATGTTATCACCAAATTTTGTTGAAGGAATAAGAAAAAGTTTTGGAGTGAGATTAACAAGTTAAAGAAAGCTAAGAACAAAATGATTTGTCAGTTAAAAATAGGAGAGGAGAGTTATTAAAATGGAGAGAAAGAGGTATTGGGAAGATGGAGGGAAATAATTTTAGGAGATTGTTAAATGTTGATGAAGAAAGGGAGCTGTGATTTCGTGTATAGGACAGAGGAGGATAACGATCTTGTAGGAGTGAGGAAGAGCCAGTAGTGAGTGATTGGGGGGGAAAGTTTCGTGAGCATTAGTAAAATGAAGGGGGTAAAGGTGCAGCCGGGAATGATGGGATAAAAGATAGAAAAATGATAAAAGCTAGGTGGGGATATAGTTTTGGAGTGTGGTTGGTGCAATTAATTAATAAATGAAAGGAAGAGGGTAGGGCTACCTAGTGATTGGCAGAGAGGATGGCATAAGTTACCTTTGTATAAAGGCAAAGAGATAAAAAGAGTGCAAAAATTATAGGGGGATAGTCTGCTGAGTATACCTGGTAAAGTGTAAGGTAGAGTTATTAATGACAGAATTTAAAAGTAAGACGGAGAATATGATAGGCAGATGAACAGGAGGCTTAGGAAAGGAGGTGGTGTGTGACCAGGCGTTTACAGTGAAAAACATATAAGTGAACAGTATTTGAGATAAGGCGTAAAGAGGTCTTTGGGCAATTTAAAGGATATTGGAAAAGGCATAGTGACAGGGTGGATTAGGGGGACAATAGTGAGTCAGATGTTGCAAGTGTATGGTGTAGAGGAAGGTTACTGAAAGCAGTGAAGATTTTTTATAAATCGAGGATAGAGAGGCTCAAGTTAGAGGTAGTA